TATATTTCTTTTAAACAGTTTTCTCCCTCCTCTGTTTCAGTGCAGTATACATTATTGAACCCATCTTACTCAGTCTCTCCCCAACCCCAAGGACAGTCTCATTCTACAACAGTTCTACCCATTCGTTTGTTGATGGGCACTTAGGTTGTTTTCAATTCCTTGCTGTTGTGAACAAAGCCGCAATAAACATGGGCGTGCACAAGTTGGGATTTTAAATAACTGGGGATGGGGTATAAAAAGGTATAGGGGGTACATCACATCTTCAGAACGTGCAATGTAGAGACTTGCTTGGGGAGTGCATGAAAGGACCTCTCGGATCCCCTGATCTTGTGTTTTTTGCTTCTCCCTGCCTTTCTTTACTTTCTAGGGAAAAGAAGGCTGCTATAACTTTTTGGATGGAAATGTGAAAGAAGGAAAATGGAAAAATGAAATAAAGACTACATTAAATAATCTGGTTATTCTTCTATTCCTTTATGAGGCTCTTTTCTAAAGCCACACTTTTAAGAGTGTACCAGAATTTGAAGTTGAGAAGAGTAGATTAGAAAAAAAGGTTAGGTTACCGTAACTCTTTGGATCTGAAGCAAATATGTTATCTGTGGTTATTTTTAATTCTTCCCAAATTCTTAGGTTTATTTGGTCTGTTAATTCTATTCTTTAATTCCTATACATGAGGTTTAGACATTTTGTTTGGGGAAAGTAGAGATTTATTTAGAACACCTTTCCCCTTCTTTTTTTGTAAAATAAACACATTGTTAAACATTTGAACATTAAAAATTAGTGGAAGTAGACTTAAAATCTTCAAATACTTCTTTCCTGTCACTTTCCTGGATCCATACCACCACCCCTTTGCAGTCAGTAATTAAGAGTAGGGACAGCCTCATTCTTTATCTTTGGGACACTAGCCAGAACCAGACTGCCCCCTTGCGGTTTCTTCGATGTCATAGCTTCAGCACATACTGTCAGTCCCCGCCTTCCCCTGCCACCCCTCTCCTCTTTCCCCCCACTGTTCTCTCAATAATACAGGAGGAATATTTACTTCCCAGTTACTATGAGTCTCTCAATTCTGGACTTGTTTTCCTCTCACCTTGAAATATTTGCAAATTTCTACGGGAACAAATGAAGAAACTTTAAACTGGATAAAGGCATATCCTAGAACATCAAGAAACTCCTACTTCCCTCCCTGTTCTGAAGCAGTTACTCAGGATCTGAGAAGCCCTGGGAGAAAAGTTAAGACCAAGTTCGGCTTTGACCTCTAGAGTCGTGGCAGTTTGGCATCTGTTCTAGTAACGTGCGTGGCAGGTTATGTAAGGAAAGGGCTGGAGTTGCCGCCCCAGCAGGCGCCCAGGAGAGGACACAGTGTTCTGTTCTCGGCAGCAGTCCCCACCCTCCTCACACAGCAGGCAAAGAGGCACCCAACTTAGTGGCGAGGGTGGAGGAGGGAAGGCTAAAACAGACGGGGAGTCACGAGTGCTGGGCCACCCACAGAGGGAAACGATACAGAAAGTCGCACATCCATCCTCTCACACACGTTGCAAACACAAGTTGTAGTTGGGTTCCACGTGCTCCACTCGTGAGTGGAGGCTCTCTCCGTGAGACCTAAAGGGTAGGCATTGAAGGCGGAGCCCGGGTGGGGGATGTCCCAGGTTTTGAGTTGCGCCCCTCTAGACGTACCACCATTCTCCGCGCGCTTCAGCTGCGAGTCTCTGGGGCTTCAATAGGCTTTTTTAAAGCCTTGAGCTCCGCCCTCTTCCTCCCCCTCCCTTCTTTTCCACTCTCTTCCCCTCCTTTATTCATCACCAGATCGGCTCCGAAGTCTCATGTAGGGGCGGAGCACGGACTGCTTCCCTTCCAGCCAATCATTACCAGCCTACCTCTTTATTGGCCCGGCCCCTGTGTCTTGCAGCAAATGTACTGTGAGCTCGGTTAATGGGAGTCATGTGTTACCGGCTCGACAACCAATGAGTGTGCAAGATCTGTGTACACCGGGGCAGGCACGTGCCGAGTCGCACGTGTCTGGGAGGGGGAAAGGGCGGGACCCGGCGGGACCCACCCAAGGAGTGAGACGGAGGTGGATAGCTAAGACTGTGGATAGCTAAGCTGGGAAGCTGAGCGAGAAACGGAGCTTGAGCTGAGCCAACGAAGCGGGTAAGGAGACTTGGAGGGCGGGTAGCAAGATGCATGAAAGAACCAGACCGGAAGGAATTGTTATTGTGTACAGGGGACTCATCCGAAAAGCTGATTGTGTTAATTGAGAGGGTTAGCATGGTGCAGCAGGGAGCGGTCCGTACATGTATTCTGATCTTGAAAGATTGGGGAAGGCCAGGAGACTGCTGTCCGTGAGGTGGTTCTCCAAAGGTGAAAATGTAGATTCCGGTGCCGAAATGTTTCTAGATTTATTGCTTGGAGATATTATGACCGCAGGTAGAGTAGGCTTTCTGTGGGAACAAGCACCGCAGCAATGGATACGGTTGGGGTGGAAGATAAAGTACCCACTTAGGTATTTACTCTGAACCAAAAAAGACCAGAGAGACAGTCCTAGTTTCTTAATGGAGTTTAGGAGTGTTGTGTCTAAAATATGTCAAAATGGGAAGGGAAAAGAGGTATTATCTTGTGCAGTACATTCTAGTCTCTCTATACATTTCTCAGACCTTATTGTTCATACTCCCTCGTTTTGCTCTTCAGTTACAGGTCGATCTTTGGGTACTCCTGGAGCTGCTATCCATCCCTCTGCTCTTGGACTTATGGATTCTCCATCAAGTGTTTCTTCCTGTTCTCCCTTCTCCCGCTCTTCCTCTTTTTCCACCTCACCAGTGAACAGTAACTTTGGCTTCCTTTCTGATAGTGAGGGGGAGGAGAAGGGGGCTCCCAGACACAGGCCAGATACAGTTGGGCAGACTGGAGGTTCAAGGCCTAGCCCAGGTCCTATCCGATGCAGGCATCGACCCAGGGTTTCCAATAACCAACATACAGCATCTCACCCAGAACAGCAACGAGGCTTGGCCTCTCCTATGGCAGGATCTGGGGTCAGTAGGTCAAGAAATGGTGAATTGGAAACCAGTCTACGATTCCAAGGTTGTACTACAGAGGGAGACTTGCTCTTTGCTCAGAAGGTAAGAGAAAATGGGGAAAAGAAAAGCCTCTGAAATACCTTACTACCCAGCTGATTGTTAAAGGACCTTGTGAGGATTATATTGGCTCCCAGATCTGAAAGTAGGGGGGGAAATTAGTACTGGTGTGGAAATCATTGCTTTTTACATAACCCTTTGTACTATTATCCTGCAGTGTAAAGAGCTCCAAGGATTCATTCGTCCACTCACAGACTTACTGAATGGGCTGAAGACCGGTCGGTTTGAAAGAGGTAACTATTTGGGTTAAGCTTTGGTTTATTTGTATGGTTCTAAGTGCCTTTAAGCCTTTGTGGCCAGCATTATTAATTATTTTGCTTTGTGACTTAATTTCTTTGTTGATTTTCTGTTAGATGTCAGTTCCAAATAATAACTACCTTATATACAACAAAATGAAACCTGCCTGGTTGTGTGCCATTTTCACAATCATTGCTTTGTTTGAGCCCGCTATTCCGACCACTGTGTCAGTCTGTGTCCTTAAGAGTCATCTGTTTGTAAGAGTGAATTGGGGGGGTGGGGGAGACAGGGAGAAAAGTAAAATGAATGAATAGAAACTCTTAAGTCTCAGTATACTTTCATTAAAATTAATTAAAAAAAAAGATCCACCAGATGCTCTGCTGGAGAAGGGGCAATATCCTTCTGTACCAGTGAGATCTGATGGTACACACACACACACACACACACACACACAAAAGAATAAAATAATTTTAAAAAAGAGTCATCTGGCTCAGGAATTCAGT